TACTCATTCAAGGCAATGTCCCTCTGCTCCCCTCTTGTAACAGCTGTGAGGGGTTAATGACCTGCCCATGTCCCTTCTGCCCACCTGAATTAACTGGCAGGTGCAGTTCTTGGAACTCTGATACTTCCTACCCAAGTCTTGAAGCTCTCTTCTTTTCACCCTCAGGAAAACTGTCCATCAGTGAAGGTATAGGAATCATTCAGTGGCTGAATGTCCCAGGCTCCCTGTGCTGTAGTGGACAATCAGGAGGCAGGTTCCACATAGTTTCTCAGGCAGAGTGCGCCTCGGGTAGAGTGAGCCCCAGGTAGCCACAGCATTCCCTGCTCATTAGCACATCATGCATTGGTTTTTCTCCCTTCTCTGCCTCACTTTCCCTGTACCTTCCTTCTGCTTCCCAGGATCAACTCCTAGTAAATTACCTGCACTCAAATCTTTGTCTTGGAGTCTCAGTGGGTAACCTGAATGAACTAAGACAATTCCCTGTAGCACTTTGTTATATTGTCCTCATTGTCTCCCTGGGAACTTCATGGCCATCCCCAGGTAAAACCCTTACTCTGCTGTGGGTAGTGTGTTACTCAGCTTTGTGATGTTGTGATCAAAATACCTGACAAGAATAACTTAGAGGAAAAGTTTATTTGGGCCCACAATTTCAGAGATTTCATCCATGGTCAGTCAACTCCATTGTTCTGGGTCTGAGATGGGGCAGCACATTAGAGCAGGAGGGCATGACAGAGGAAAGCTGCTCATCTTATGGCGGGTGGAAAGGAGAGAGGGAAAGGGAGAGGAAGAGAGGGAGAGAGTAGAGGGGGAGAAAGAGAGAAAAAAGTAGGGGAGCCGAAGTCCAAGAGTATGTCCCCAGTAAGCTACTTCCTTCAGCCCTGCCCCACCCGCCTACAATTATCAGTCAGTAGTCCATCCAAATTATTAATCCATCAAATGGATTAATCCACTGATTAATTAATTAATTAATTAATTAATTTCATAATCTAATAATTCCTGCTTTACCTTACACATGAACTTTTTAGGTGACATTAAAGATGCAAACCATAAGAGATAATCAGGAATTCAATTTATTAAAATGACACTTATGGGTTTCCAGATTGTGTGCAATCAGCTCAGTCATAACTGTATCTTAGAGGGTTCCAGGAAAGCACTTTTGAACAGAAGGTCCCCAGGGTCATTTGCCCCATAAAAAAGGAGGATGGGCTTAGTCCAGGAAGGGTAAAGCCTTTAGCTGAAGGTGATATATCTGCTACAAGTCTTCAAAAGACTCTGTCAGGGCATGTAACCTGTCATTCTTACTCCTAATAACAGAACCTCTCCTGCCTCCACATCTGGAGGTTGTCCTCACCATCCACAACACCCACCAGCTGGCAGCCCCTCCCTTTGAGGACAGCAGAAAGCTGGGTCTCCTGTTTTTGATCTTACATGGGTAGATAGATGTTGTCAGAAGGGCAGAAGAATGGGGTTAATTCCATATAAAATAGGAAGGATAGAACTCCAGTTTCCAGATCATCTATCCAGGAATTTTACATTGGCAGCCCAGTGGACTATATTCAGTCTGTGATATGTTCTCCTTGGCCAACAGACGGTTTTTGTTTTGTTTTAACTAGCCCAACGGAGTAATTAACAAAGTTTGCAAATTCCAGATTCTCTTGAAAAACAGAAAGATCTGGTGAAGTGGAGTCCAGATTTTGACCTGTCAATCACAATGGGGAACCCCTTAGACCTTCAGTCTCCTACCACAGCTTGCAGCTCTAAATCTGTATACTCAGATTTTCCCAACGACTGGGCCTTGAATTCGCAGCTCTAATGTTTAACCCTAAAAATTCTAAGGATGAGCAAAAGTTGTCTAAAGCCCAAGTCTGCTGAAGGCAAAGTGGCCAGAGCCTACCGACCGTAGTCTGAGAGGCCTGATTGGAATTGACCGAATAGCCGAAGAATCTGACAGTGATGGTGATGGTAGATTTAGGGTAAGGACCTGAAGGTTGGATCTTTTTGCAGGGCCAGTTGCCCTCATTCCCAGCTTCCTCCCCGGGGTGGGGATGGGAGGCCTTCCTCCTCCATCACCACTGCATAAGGTCCGTGTTGCCTCTGCAAAGATGAGGTTGCAACTGGGTTTGCAGTAGGTGCAGATGCTAGCACTGGGCACCTGCAGAAAACAGGGCGCTCTGCCTGTGTACAGGCGATTCGGGTGCGGGGGTGGGGGTGGGGGGCTCTAGCAGGGTGCAGAGGACAGGAGCCGCGCAACTGACAATAGTGCTCATCTGCGGAATCGCACCACTGACACCTAGCTACTGAGGTCCTATTCACACCCGGGTGCCAAGGAGTAGAAAACCCCCAGTGAAGGGAGGCCCCTACAACCTGTGACCCCAGCCAGAGAGGTCCTGCACCCAGAGCACACTAGTCCCAGCGCGCGGCGGGGCGCGGGAGCAGATCGCCCACTGTCTGCCTAGGGTTGAAGGCAGGCCGGGGCACCCTAGGGCGGAGTCGAGGGCGGGACGCGCAGGGCCGGGTCCGAGGTGTTAGGATGAGTGGAGGAGGCGGAGCTCCGACTCTGTCGGGGAGACACCGCCACGCGCAGAAGAGCACTGAGCGAGGGGTCTAAATAGGGACAACACACACTCGCCTCGGCAAGTGCTAGTCCGGGTCCCCAAGGCGGGAACCAGAGACCCGACCCGCGTCCACTCACCCTAAGACCCGCGTTCGGCCTCCAGGACATCAGAGTGCCCCAGGAGAAGAGGTGCAGAGGTAGGTAAACGATCAGATCCGCGCAGTTGGAAGACGGGTTGTGTGTTCATGCCGCCCGGACAAGGGGCTCCGACGCCCGCTTCCTTTCTCAGGGCTACGCGGGCTCCTTAGCCTCTTGCCACTCCCGGGATGTGGCGATCTGTCCCCAAGCTAGCAGCGATTTGATTCGGGGAAATGCCCTCTGGGTCCTCCAGGTTGGCAGGAGACCGTAGGCTGGGATTGGGGGCTGCGGGCGCGGGCGAGCGCCAAATTGCAGGGGGAGGTCTCCTGCAGAAAGGTGAGCAGAAAAGAGCCAACCTCTCTGATAAAATTCTCTCGCCCCCTCATCGTCCCCTCGCCAACCCCAACCCCCAGCCCTAGTTTTCCGCGGTCCCGAAGCCCCCCGGCTTTGTTTCTCAAACAAGAATTTTTTAGTTGATTCCTGCCCGGGGCGGGGCGGAGTCTTCGGACACCGCGTGGCAGCGTTGGGGAGGGGAGGAGGTGCTGGAACGGGATGATCACCCGCGAGGGGTACGTCCCTCGAAAATGCGACGGGGACAGGGACTTGTCCCCGCTCGGGGCATGCGCCTCTTCCTTGGGCCTGGAGGCTGGAGCGTAGAAACCCGGCAGGAGAAGAGCTGGGGGTCCTGCTTCTCTGTCCGCAGCTGAACCGAGTCTTCAGGGATTGGAATTCCGTGTGAAAGGCAAACCCAGGAAGGTCACCCCGGCTGCAGACGCCTCTGTGAGTTGAACCTCACCTGTCGGAGGTTTCTACACCTCAGTCTCGCAGCAGGCGGGAGCTCTATAGGTTATAGTATTCCTGCCACAACTACGACTCTTGTCCTTGCCAGAGTGGCAGTTCCTGACCCTTGCTCCCGTCCCGCCTTCCCAGGGGCAGACAAATTTCCCTGACCCATTTTAGTGCTTCTTGCTACCAGCATCCATTGGCCCCCACACTTGGAGAGGTTTCCAGGTGTGCTGAGAGGTCTGGGAGGAAAGCGGTTCACCTCTAGTAAGACAGCTCCCTTTCTGCGGACACTAGGGTCCTGGTTCTTTTCCCAGACACTCAGCAACAACTTGTGCCCTGTGCTCCTCTATCTCCTGAGAGCTGATGCTTCAGAGATTTTATTTCCTCTCAGAGGCTCCTTCATTGGACTTTTTCCAGTGAAGGGCAGACAGTTCACCTTGAGCCCTCTGGGGTCTTAGGTGACCTTCTACCCCCTCCTCCCCAGACCTTCACCCTTGGGGACTATTTTCAGTTAAGTCTTGGGGCAGCCATCCTTTTCCGAGGACAAAGACCTTCAGGACAGGGTGTGGTGCCTTCTACTCAGGGTGACTCTGGGGTGGGGAACTGGAAACCTGGTGAAGGCAGGAGGGAGCAGACCCAAAGTAGTGGGACTAAGGTGGGGAGACAGAGAATTCCTTCTAGAGCTGGTTCCCAAGGAGCAGGGGAATTTCCTCTTCCCCACCTACAGCATCTAGGTGGGGATCCTCATTCATTCATTCATTCAACAAATTCCTATCCAGCTCCCCAACCATACCCCCTGCCTATGCAGGATCTGGACTGGATAGCAGGAGTTTGTTTAGGGAAAGTTAGGGCTCTGAGAGCATGAATCACTGGTCCAGGATGACTCAGCCTATCCATATGAAAATGGTTTTGGTGATTTCCAAGTCCCTGGTTTGGCTAGACCAGAGGGCTCTGTGCCCTACTTTGGAAGAAAGACCCTATTCCTGGCCAATAGATGGTACAACATTGTGGATAACATAGAAGCCTGGGCAATTGCCTTGAGAAACTTCCAGAAGACCTGTGGGAGCTGATGAAGGGGTGGGTGGATAAATTAGACATCAAACCAGCACTGACCCCTGGGAAAAGGACAAAAGTGCACATTTTTCTTGGGTGTCTCTGGCAAGTCCAATCCACCTTGCATTCAGTCCTTTCTGATAGCTGCAGAGGTGGTAGAGGGCATCCCAGCTTCCAGATCTCATGCCTTCTCTCCCCTGCACCATGAGTAGTTCTGTCTACAGGTAGGCAGTGGGTTTGGTGGGTGTGTACCTGGGGAACTCTGGAGGAATGCTACCAGATATTCTTCATTCTCCTGTGATCCATTGGTTGTGTCTCCTTCCAGAAACAAGATGGTGTATCACCTCTGCCCAAGGATGTGAGCAGGGTACTAGGCTCAATCACATCTTCTGTGACAGCAGAAGATCTGGACCCCCCAGCTCAGAGTGCTGTATTCCCTACACTTCCCTCATACTGCTCCATCTGCAGGCATCACCATGGCAGTGCAGAACAGAAACACTAGTTTTGCTTCCAACTTTAGTCTACCCCAAGACCATGCCTCCTCCCTCCACTTCAACTTCAGTTATGGTGATTATGACCTCCCTCTGGATGAAGATGAGGACATGACCAAGACCCGGACCTTCTTTGCAGCCAAGATCGTCATTGGAGTGGCACTGGCAGGCATCATGCTAGTCTGTGGCATTGGCAACTTTGTCTTCATTGCTGCCCTTGCCCGCTACAAGAAGCTGCGCAACCTCACCAACCTGCTCATTGCTAACCTGGCCATCTCCGACTTCCTGGTGGCCATTGTCTGTTGCCCCTTTGAGATGGACTATTATGTGGTACGTCAGCTCTCCTGGGAACATGGCCATGTGCTGTGTGCTTCTGTCAACTACCTGCGTACTGTCTCCCTCTACGTCTCCACCAATGCCCTGCTGGCCATCGCTATTGACAGGTGAGGCCCTTGGCAGGGGTATAAGACAGAAGCCAGCTAGGCTGCCATTTTTCTCACTTCAAATTAGACAGGCTTGGCACTACTCCATATTTGAATGTTCATTGATCTTTTAAGGGGCAAGAGGAGCTTTTGTTTCTTTAGCAGTGTTCTGTTCCCCCAAATGTGAGCAAATATGAGGCTCCTAAGTCCCCCAGTTCTGACCATGCTCTCTCTGAATCTGCTTTAGATGCAAGCATATCACATTAATGACAGCCTATGGCATCAAACACAAAGTCAAAAGCAGAAAATTCAGACAGCTGTTACTTAGAAGCCAAGGGAGGGTTAACTAAGGAAGTTTGCAGTCAAGACAATACGCACCAAGTTTTTCCTGTAGCCAGATTGAACATTTCCATCACTTAGAAAATGCCTGTGCCCTAACCAGTCAACTCCCCCAACCCTTAAGCAACCAGTGATCTGATTGTTATCATCATAATTTAATTCTGCCTAGGCTTTAACTTCCTAAGAAAAGAATCATCACTTGTTTTAGTGATTTTGTTGCAGAGCTGATTTTAAAATGAGATAGCAGGATTTGTTTGCAGAAAAGAAAGACATGCTTGCTTTTGTTCTTTTGCATATATCCATGTGTGCTCATTTGCATGCATTTGCATGAGATGTTCCAGAAGTCCTTGCTCTATTGTAAATGTATAAGGTAAAATTTATCACATCTAGTGACAAATCTTATACATGTACAATTTATGTGAACAGTTGCAGCCCAGTATCAGATCACCAGTGGCTCTGTTTGAGAGAGACAGTTGATGTCTTCTTGCTTACTATTCACCTTCTGAGCTATGCTGAAACTCATTTTGATTAAGGTGCTGGATCATCTTTTTTCCCTTTTGTCTCCTTTCAACTCTTCAATTTTTCCCATGTTCTCAGTGCTGTTTATAGGTTTGCTGTCTTTTGTAATCAACCAGTTTATTATTCTTCATTTATGGTGTAATAAAATACACATACAGGTACAAGATGCATCTTCCTTTTATAGAATATCTGAAGGAAAAACAATTTTATTACAACTCTGAGGTTCTCCAGGCCTGAAACCAGCCTTTGTGGAGTGGGCACTTACCAACCAACTGCGCAAAACTCCCCAAGGAAAATGGCAGAAGGTAACATCTGATGCAATGATTCAGAGTCAGATTCCTGGGTCCCACTCCAGTCTCCTGGATGGGAATCCCTCACACTGGGTTCCAGGAATCTGAATTTTTATTCACTATCTTAAGTGATTTTTATGCTTACTAAATGATAGTGATCACTATTCTCATCTCTTGTCCCATTGTAACCTTGTCTTCATGATGTTGATTTTGTTTGTCTGTTTTTTAAATTTTTTATTTGTTCTGATTAGTTACACATGACAGCAGAATATTTTGCACTTTGATATATCATTCATAAGTGGGATATAATTTCTCATTTTTCTGATTGTACATGTTGTAGAATCACATTGGTCATGCAGTCATATATGTACATAAGGTAATGAGGTCTGTTTCATTCTACTATCTTTCCTACCCTCATACCCCCTCCTCTCCTTTCACTGCCCTCTATCTAAAGTAACTCTATTCTTCCCTAGCCACCCCCACCTTATTGTGAATCAGCATCTGCATATCAGAGAAAACATTCAGCCTTTGGTTTTTTGGGATTGACTTATTTTGCTTAGCATTATATTCTCCAGCTCCATCCATTTACCAACAAATGCCATAATTTTATTCTTTTTTAAGGCTGAGTGATATTCCATCATATATATCACATTTTCTTTATCCATTCATCTATTGAAGGGCACCTAGATTGGTTCCATAGTTTAGCTATTGTGAGTTGAGCTGCTATAAACATTGATGTGACTGTGTCACTGTAATATGCTATTTGTAACACTGGAGTTTCTTGGGACATGATCACCCTGTTACAACAGACAAGGGAGAAGTTCTTTCCCATCCCAAACCAACTCTTCCCCAGGCAGCTGCCAGCTCCATCAGCAGTGTCATCACTTTCCTGGTCCCCAATCAGGAAAGTTACCAACACCCTTTGCCCTTCTCCCCCCTCAATTCCTACCCACTCCACCCTTTGTGTTCAGGCCTACACCAACTCCTGGCAATTCTCCCTCTACCCTCATTCCTTATCAAGTTATGACTGGTCCATGATGATGCTCTTCTGACTTGTCTTTTGCCCCCAGAGGCTCTTGGCTCTGCCCTGAAATCCATACTCATCCATATGAAGCACCAGAATATCACTATTGAGGGATCTTCCTAAGACATTTCATTGCTAATAAGACCTCTAGAAATTCCAGTGTCTTTAGGATACACGCCAAATCCTGAGTCTAGCATAACAGGGCATTTATGATCTGATGCCAATCTGTCTTTCCAAACTCAGGCTGTGTATGAAGACACAGATGGTCTTATCCAAAAGATAATGTATTTTAAGCACAATAATTAGGTCTGCAATGTTTCTGTCTCCACAGAGCCTTATACCTGTGTCTTAATTTGGGTTGTTTTCACTCTGAGATAAGGATACTTGTGTATGTAGCACCAGGAAGAACCTATAGGAAGGTGGAAAGTGAAATAGGGAAGGAAAACAGTCAATACAGGATACATTGTTGAACAAGATTCTACTATGGGTAACTAGAGCTTATCCCTGCTGAGAAACCCTTAGAGCCAGTAGATCACAACTCAGACATCTCCCAGGAGTGGGCAGTGAGAGGGAGCTGGGATATTTGTACACCATTACGCATAAGGCCTTGCTGAGGACTGCTCTAGGGATGCTGTTCAGGGAGCCAAGAGGAATCTGGAAGCCTGAGAAAGCCTTTAGACAAAGAAATGCAGGTGTATTGGCAGGTACAACTGAACAGGTATGCACTGACATGATAACAGCAAAGGGATATGAATGGGGCACTGACTGTATCTGCTCCAACCTGGTAGGTGCACAGTGGGTTGCTGGGCCCTGCTGTATGTCCAGACTATGGATATGGAAACACAATGTAGAAAAGACACAGTCCTTGACCTCAGGGAGCTTTTCTTCCACACAAGAACTAGCATTTATGAGACATAAAAGAATAATCGAGAGATTCTGATACATAAATTCTAGGGTTTTTTTTTTAAGGAAAAGTTCTCTGAAAGGCTTACTCTTTTTTATATGAATTATAATTATACATAATAGTGAGATTCACTGTGGCCTATTTGTACATGCACATAACATAATTTGGTGAATCTCATTCCCCAGTGAGTTTATACTTACACTTCCTGATAGAGGAACCAGCCGGACAGGGAGGCTTTTCCATTGGGTGTGTACAAGAGGAGCAGTTGAGATACATCTGGCAAGAACAGGGGAACTCATAGCTAGGCTTTTGGGGTCCCATAAGGCTCAAAGATATAAAGGCAGTATGTGGAAATTCAAGCCTCAAAATACAAAAGCTTAATAAATAGCACCCCTCTGAGCCATCAGGGTCTAGACCAATTGAAAAATAAGGTAAATGATAAGAAAGATGAATAGAAAGCTCTCATCTTTGCCCTGATGATACTGATTTTGGAAAACAGGGTTGTATCTGGGAGCTTGGGGGATACTTCAACCGCAACCCCAGAATTAGAGAGACCTACATACCCTGGGAGAAGTACACATCTCTCTGTTGGTACTTTCATTTGCCTCTAGGACAAATATGTAGAAATATCTACTATGTAGAAATATCATAAGGGCCACCTGGTGCCATTTGTGTATGCTGCAGCTAGAGAATAGCCAGGTCTATGTAGAAGAGGTGCTATTTCAAGTCACAGAGACTTGAAGAAAACCACTGATCTTAAGAAACACTTCCAAGCAGATAGATGGCAACAAACACCTTGCAGATGTCTCTTGCCAATGAGTGAACTGTGGGAAATGATCAATGTAAGTAAAGTACTATAGCTTCCAACATGCATTATGTATGTTCACTTTCTTGAAACCTAAAAAAAAAATCCTGAGAGATTGTCAATAAAGTTATTATGATCCCCATTTTATAGATGATGAAACTAATTCTCAGGAGTATAAATGATTTATCCAAGTTCACAGCTTGGAGCCAGACCTTCTGAATAACCTGCAGGCTAGTAGTGTTCCTTTCTTTTCTATTTGAATTTTGAAACATCCCATAGAATGAGGAAAGTGTTACAAATGATAAAAAACTTGAATTTAAAAGACAACAACAGAATAAGCAGGAATGTGGGGAAATTTCATTTGGCATTGGTTATTGAGATACTGTCCATGATAGAACCAGAAAGCTATTAAGTTCTGAATTTGTCTTGCTTTTCCTAAGGACTTTGGATTAAGTTGTGGTAGGCAGAATAATTCCTCCCCCACCCCCCGCCAAAAGATAACTACATCCTGTTTCCCAGAACCATGAGCATATTACATTACATGCCAAAAGGGAATTAAAGTGGCAGATGGGCTTAAGGTTGCTAATCAGCTGATCTTAAAATAGGGGAATTTTACTAGATAATCTAGGTGGGGCCAATGTAATCACAAAGGTTCTTAATTGTGGAAGGAGGCAGAGAGTTAATGTCAGAGTAATACAAAATGAGACAAACTCAGCTTGCCATTGCTGGCTTTGAACAGGGAAGGGTCATGGGTCAAAAACTATAGGCAGCCCTGGAAAGGAAATACACACACACACACACACACACACACACACACACCAGTCTTCTGACCTCTAAAAACTGTAAGATAATCAATTGTGTCACTTCAAGCCACTATATCTGTGGGCATTTGTTATAGCAGCAACAAAAAACTAATTCTTTCCCAGTCATTACAAAGAAACAGTGATTGTGAGATGTCCCTGCTCCAGGTGAGGGTGAGCCAGCCCATTTGCCCCTCTCTTCAGTCCCGTGAGGCTTGTCCACTCGGAACAGTCATACAGGTTCACATGGCAAGGCCAGATCAAATGACGTGCGGAGAACTCCAGCAACAGCCATGCATATTAGTACATCCAGGTTGTGATGGATCCAGCTTCATCCTGGATATTCAGAAAGCCACAAACTTGGGGGTAGCCATGCTCTCATGGGTTCCGCTAGTGAAACTCAATGGGTTAGAGCCAACAATGAACAAGGAGCAGGCAAGAGAAGGTGAAGCAAACTTGTAGCAGAAATACTGTCAGGGACGGAAAGTAGTAACATGGAAGGAAACCTCCATAGTCAAATCAGACACTTGGAAAGGTGATCAAAGGGTCTGGTTTACAAAGGTTTGGATCCAGTTTTCTACGTGTTTATTTCCATGGCTGATTTCTTTCTTTTCTGACCCTTCTGACGTTTATCTTTCTCCATTGTCTTCTACCACTCAATCCTGCACAGAAGTGATTCCAGGGCACCCAAATATCTAAATAGATTGTCATTCGTTCTCTCTCTCTGGAGAGAAGATATTCAATCTGCACAGCTGAGCTCACTTTCTACAAAAGGTTCCGACTTCTTTCCTGGGCAATGTGGTTCATCAGAAAGAGCAGGGATCAAGATATTATGGTAGCTTCATATACCTTCCCATTTGAACATGAGGTGACCCAGGGAGGTGAGTGTAAAAGCTTTTGTACCAGGGGCCTGAATTCCAGTACTTGCATGATTCTAGCTTGAGCAAGACATTTACTTCTCATCAGGGTTCTTAGTTTCATCACAAACCCATCCCTACTCTCCTGCTTCTGTAATGCAGAGTAATACCTGGTGGTGGGGGCTGGAGGAGAAGGAAAAAGTTCTTGTCCATTACCTGAGAAAGGCCTGACCTCTCTTGGAGGTGCCCAGCCCTTCTTCATCTCTAAACCATGAGTTATTTAGAATGAAGAGCTTTGAGAGCATTGTATTCTTGGGCAGAATGGCTTGAAACCCAAGGTAGAATAATAGGAGCATTAATAATAATAGACCACATGTATTTATTGAACACCTACAACACAGGCTACAAATATTATCATATTTAACCTTCACAGCTACCAGCAAAGCAGGTATCATTTGATTCCAGGTTGCATTTGAGGAAATGAACCTCAGAGATATTGGGTAATTTGGGTCTGGAAAGCCAGAATTTATTCAACATATTTGACCTAAAACCTGTGCTGTTTCCACTAAACCATGCCACTATTCCAAGTGCAAAATGATGTTGCTGACATGAGATGAAGCTGGTTAAATTTGGGTAATGAGTACATGGGAATTCACTGTGTTCGGAATTAGTGAAAAAACGATCATTTTCCAAGCTGTAACATATTATGATTGTTTGCTGTCTTTCCTCACCAGATATCTTGCCATCGTTCACCCCTTGAAACCACGAATGAATTATCAAACCGCCTCCTTCCTGATTGCTTTGGTCTGGTTGGTTTCCATCCTCATTGCCATCCCATCAGCCTACTTTGCAACCGAAACCGTCCTCTTTATTGTCAAAAACCAGGAAAAGATCTTCTGTGGCCAGATCTGGCCAGTGGATCAGCAGCTCTATTATAGGTCCTACTTTCTGTTTATCTTTGGCCTCGAGTTCGTAGGGCCTGTGGTCACCATGACCCTGTGCTATGCCAGGATCTCCCAGGAGCTCTGGTTCAAGGCAGTCCCTGGGTTCCAGACAGAGCAGATCCGTAAGCGACTGCGCTGCCGCCGGAAGACAGTCCTGGTGCTCATGTGCATCCTTACAGCCTACGTGCTGTGCTGGGCACCCTTCTATGGCTTCACCATTGTGCGCGACTTCTTCCCCACTGTGTTTGTGAAAGAGAAGCACTACCTCACCGCCTTCTACGTCGTCGAGTGCATCGCCATGAGCAACAGCATGATTAACACTGTGTGCTTCGTGACGGTCAAGAACAACACCATGAAGTACTTCAAGAAGATGATGCTACTCCACTGGCAACCCTCTCACCATGGGAGCAAGTCCAGTGCTGAACTTGACTTCAAAACCAGTGGGGTGCCTGCCACTGAAGAGGTGGATTGTATCAGGCTGAAGTGACATGGTAGCGTTACACAACTGAAAACCCAAATCCAGTACTCAGAGCATCATCAATCAAATTCACAGCCTGAATGGAAAAGAACAATCATATTCATGCCTCCTGTCTTTACAGAGCTAGATGCTTCAAAGTCATAACAAATAATGAGGCTGGACACAAACCACAACCCAGACATTTACTGATATCTGCTGATATCATTAGCCTGCTGAGTACACCATCACAACCATAAGAGCAGACACAAGTAGCAGCAACTGACATGGACTGAATATCTACTGCGAGCAAGCCACACCAATGAGATTAGACAGAGACAACAGGATTGTCCTACCTACTGTGTACAAAGACATTTTAAAAATCAAAATGGCAGAAGTTATCTGAGTCGACAAACTACATCTAGACATATAGATGGCTAGGAAGAGACCACCAATGGCATCTGGACTCTCCCTCCATGATCCCTCATTCTGTATCTTATCTGAACAGGAATGCTCAAAGCTATAGAATAATAAGGCATTTAGACATAATTAAAATGTAAGGATAAGCCCATCAGTATGGAGTCTATAGCCTCAACCTAGCTCCTACTATCTCCTGATATGTTCTCCAGGATTGTGGCTGCCAAAGAAGAATTTTTCTTGCAGTCCATCCAGCCTTATGGCCCTTCTACAATGGTGTAATGTCGAAGGAGAGAACTAAAAAAAGTCTTACTGATGGGGTTGGAATCTCATCACTCTATTGGGTGAAGATGGTCAATCCTGAGATGAGGAGTACATTCAGTTCTTTATACACTTCAGTGTAAAGGATTTCAGGGGCTCTGGGGCCCAAAAGAAAGAGCACCAAAAAAAAAAAAAAAGAGTGAAGGTTGCCACTGGTAATAAACATAATCTGTGTGGCCATTTGGCTAAAACCCGAATATTTTTGGAACATACTCTCTTTTACAAAAGAAGCTCTGCTCAGAACCCAAAGACCAGACCAGAGTTCTAGGTCTCATGTGACCTACTGGTTTCCTGTGTGGATGTCTCATTTTGTTTTAATGATATGGAAATAATCAAAACTTCTGCCTTCCCTGCCACTGGGAGAGCCCATGTTCAGCATGTGAACATGATTTGAACTATACACATGAAAGGAATGAATAAGTAATATTGTACTGGTTGTTTGGAGGGAGTTGTTTAGAAACTCCATGCACTGTGGTTTATTATGGGGAAACACCTGCACCTTTTTATCTCTGTTCTTTGGACCAGTGACCCTTGAACTCTTTTCACAGAAACTCATCTCAAGTGGGGCAAAAAGGCATCCCTGCCTGTAATCCCAGCAGGTAGGGAGGCTGAGGCAGGAGGATCAAGGGCTCAAAGCTAGTGGCAAGGAGCTAAGCAACTTAGTGAGACCCTGTCTCTAAATAAAATACAAAAATAGGGCTGGGGGTGTGGCTCAGTGGTCAAGTGCCCCTGAGTTCAATCCCTGATACCCCCCCAAAAAAGGCACCCCTGTCCCAGGATATAATCAAGAAAATGTAGCCTCTCAGCATCGCTATGGTCTTAGAAGTGTTGACAGTCTTTTCAGCATGTTGTCCTCAGCACACCACAGTGCTGCATAAATAGCATTTCTGAATCCATTGTTATTACTATACAACTGTGGTGATCATATATATGTATCCTCATTTCTTCCTGACTCATACTGAAGCAGAGACTGTACAAATGGTACCTGGTTTGAGATTGAACCATCCATACTTGGTTGATTCCAAGTTTTCTGAGGAGAAGGAATTGTTTAGTTGCTTATTTCTTTTTTCCCATATTTTTGAATTGGTGCATTATAGTTGTATATAACAGTGGGATTTGTTGCTACATAGTCATACATGCACAGAATCTAACGATATATTTTGGCCAATTTCATTCCCCAGTATTTCCCCCTTTCCGCCCCTCCTCCCTCCCCTAGTCCTTTCCCTCTATTCTATTAATCTCCATTTGATTTTCATGAGACCTCCTACTTGCTTGTTTCTTAAAATTATTTGTTTGGTTTGTTTTCCTAACGACAAAGTGCCAATCAATTGTTTTCTATCACCACCCCGCAGACTTATCTTCAACCCAATCATTGTACATTTAAGAAAATGCAGTCTCACCATATCAAAATGGTTTATAAATTCTGATTTCACCAAGTTTCACAGTGCATTCCAAAGCCAAGCAAGGAAGCATGGTGGATTATCTACATTTTTACAATTGTAATGCTTTAGCTTTCCTGGATGAGGTGGCACACATCTATAATCTCAGCTAAATCAGAAGGCTGAAGCAAGAAGCTCCTAAGTTTGAGACCAGCTTGGACAACTTAGTGAGATCCTGTCCCAAAATTCAAAAAATGAAAATAAAAAGTTCTGAGGATGCAGTTCAGTGGTAGAGTGCTTACCTAGCATGCATGAGACCCCGAGTTCAATATATTTGCCATATATCAGTCAACAAGATTCGTCTCTTTTTTTCCCTTTGTATTCTAAAATGTTCCATCCTCCTTTCACTTTAACTGAAAAAAAATCTTGTAAACATCAGTGTGTATTTGTGATTTGCCAGTGAATAAAAGTGTTGTGTTGTTATTCAATGGAATAATTAACATATGAAATCCTAATCACAGTGTTTGTTTCCCTGCTAGTGTTTCATATCATGTTAGTATATTTAGATATTAATGAAGCAACAGCCATTTAAACAGCTCAACCCTGAAACAGAGACAGAACTTGGCAAAGACGTTTTTAGAGCAGTGGAAGCTCATACCAGCAACCAGACTCATCTCCGTTACATCTCTCAAGCTCATTGCCCAGGACTGTGTTCTTGTGTGCAAATAAGCAGGGAACCACTATACTGCGTCCATGTTACCCATTAGTTTTAAAATGACCTTGTTTGTTTGAAAGTTTATTGCTATTTGCATGGAGACTGTTTCTCTCTCAATCCAAAATTAAGGTAATAAATCAATTGTATTTGTGTCTTTTCTTCTCAAGACTAATTAACGGCAAGTGTAAGATATATATATATATATATATATATACACACACACATATATACATTATATACATATATATACATTAAAAATGTATATACACATATGTGTATACACTCATTTATCCCTTTTATTATATATTGAAAATTTTGTCTCCTTTAGCAGAACAAATTCATTTTTCTCATTCAGAACAAGAAAAATGAAGTAAGTTGCCTCTCAAATTGGAGAAATTAAAAGATGACTTTAGGCCCTCAGGCATGAAAAACAATTCCAGAGTTAAAAGGAAGAATGTAAAAAAAAAAAAAAGGGAGAATGTGACATGTGGAAAGTGATTAGAAAACTTAAAATGAGTTCTGTTTTTACCAGAAACATCCTCCCAATTTAACCATTCTCTACCCTTTGGACTCAAAGAGGAGACACACGCGCATGTGCGTGTACACACACACACACACACACACACACACACTCAGGATACCAGACCAGGAAAGGCCTTTTTCTTGGGGTAGTGAGGTACCGGAGACTAAACTCAGGGGCACTTGACCACTGAACGACATCCCCAGCCCTATTTTTGTATTTTATTTAGAGACAGGGCCTCACGGAGTTGCTTAAAGCCTTGCTTTTGCTGAGGCTGGCTCTGAACTTGTGATCCTCCTGCCTCAGCCTCTTGAGTCACTGAGATTACAGCGCACTGGCACTCGGCTAGGAAAGGCCTTTTAGTGCACATGGCAACACATGTTGGAGCCAAAACATTGCCCCAAGATTTGAACTCTGGGCCAGTGACCAGTACTCAGTGACTATGTATACCTGAGCCCAAAGGAGTGGACTCTCACTTAGAATGCTTGAAAAGACATTTAAATGGTATCTGGCCTCCCAGGAGAATCTTAAGCTGCATGGAAGATACCTTTCCTCTCTCTGATAGGCCAAGAGTACATCTCATCCAAGGAACTTTATAATCTAGAACCCAGGATTCCAGGTAAACCAGAGAGAATTCCACCAGGACCACTCCACTGCTCCTTCCTTTCTTTTCTCCTTAAATGTCCTTGGGGCTATTTGCTCTAATGCTAGAGCCCTGTTGGGAAGTAGACTGAGATGAAAGGCAACCTGGCCCCAGGGAAAGCAGTCAGTTGAGATGGGATATGTTTGCTTTCAAAGACAAGAAGAGGTCTGGGTCACCCAAGACAGAATATTCAGTCTTCACACAAGCTACTACCAGCTAGCCTGAGCAGTGGTCATTCCCCATGCTTCTCAGGAACCAAATGCTCCCAGTCACGAGGTCAGTCTTCCTCCTAAGGTATACCTACCTTTTGGGATTGATGGTGCCCTTTTGAAGAGTAGCACAAATACATCTTCTGTCTCTGTTCCTTCCCTGATAGAAGTTTTAGCATATGGACACAAGAGGGACCGGGACATAGAAATCCTGGTATGTCCAGTGGTAGTGCCACTAAATGGGATACATGCCTTTTGCTAATCTTTATCTTTCTTCTCAACCCTTTGCTAGGAGAAACATCAGTAACCCAGGCAGTGTGTCAGCAGGGCAGCCTGGATTCTCATAGAAAATGTCTTTATTGCTTTCAAGCACAGCTTAACTTCGCTTCTCCAAATAGCAGGGATGTGAACACATTAATCACCAAAGACTGTAAGGACTGCAAATAACTCCTGAGAGGCTCGGTAGGTCAGTCATCAGTGTCTTTGGCTATTGAGTCCCTTTTCCCTGAGGCCATCAGGCATGCCAATAGTTTGAAATGCAACTTTGGTCAATATAGTTAGATGCTCTTGGTAATTTGGTGAGAACCTATCTCAAAATTTAAAAAAAATGAAAAGGGCTGGGGATGTAGCTCAGTGGTAAAGTTCCCCTGGGTTAAGTTCCCAATGAAAGAAAAAAAGGAAGGGAGAGAAAAAGAAAAATGTGTCTGGCACCTTCTTCAGATACAACAAACTAAAGGGGGTGAAACTGTTTCACTGAAACTTAGAAAAAGTTAACACCGAACAGGGAATTAGGCAGTGAACTTTGCCTCCAAGAAGTGGGGAAGTCAACCCTTGGACAGAAAGCCATACAGATGCAATATCCTTGCATCCCTTTGTTGAGTGCTTGTACTGGAATTCCACATGTGATTCTCAGGCTAAGAGGAAAGAATTCAGTCTGAAATCTCACTTAACGCTGACCTTGGGTTCCCAGCTCTGGATCTATCTATGTTATAGTTTAGATCTTGAATGTCTCCTAAAGAGTTCATGTTTTGAAAGCACAGTCCCCAGTACAGCAAGATTCAGAGGTAGTAGGGTGTTTAGGTAATGATTAGGGCTATAACCTCATAAATGAATTAATCCATTTGATGTATTAATAATTTGAATGGACTGCTGGGTGGTA